GAAATATAAATTATGAATAATAGCTCATTATAAGGAGGATGAAATGATGGACATTTCTCTCGCTTACAGTGTGGAAGTCCGATTTTTAGTATTTGAGATATTTTAATCGATATCTTCCATATCTTCCATACCTTAAAACTCTTTATCATTTCATTTTCGACACTATTTTCTATCTGTGACTGGGCGGATGCAAACATGTTGAAGTTGAATGAAGAGAAAACCAACACCCGAGCTTACCCGAGTATATGGAGGCGAAACTAAAACGTTTGATGACTCGCGATGACGACTTGATGTTGATGATTTGATGACTCGATTGTACGATTCATCTTCGGGATCCCGAGGGAAGCCTCTGTTTCCCCTTATTATGAAGAGCTGAAATGGCTTTATCCTTCCTACCAACGTAAGTATCTCCTAGCATACTTCCTCTTCCAAGTCATCCAATCCATCCTTCCTTCATACATCTCCGAGCTCCTTTAATTCGAATCCTCCGTCCACTCCCGCAAAACCCGTTCCCGGTCTTTAGATTTATACATAATGGCCCACCGAACCTCTGTTTTCGATAATTCCTTTATTATCCGATCCTCATCCCTATGGAACTCCATCCCTCCCCAAATTCGTCAATCCAAAACCCTTCCTACCTTTAAATCCCGACTGTTTAATCATTTCTTATCCATCCAGTCCTCATAAAATTATATACATATCACAGTAGCTATTACTGTAAATAAATTATTATAAATTATAATTATAATTATAAATTATTGGATAGTTTTTTATTATTTTTACTTCATGTTTATTTTCAATTTTTATTTTTTATTATTAACTGATTTAAATTAGAAAGTAACTTATAATTTCTTTTATTATTTTGACTATTTAAGCCAACTATATTCTTGTTTATGTATCTCTGAGGTTCCTTAGTCACCTTTTTTGTCTTTCTGTATTATTCTAAAGTGACTCGTCCCAGAATAAAGAAAGTAATATTATTTTTTAAAAATAGCCACACCGATCTCCGGATTTAACACCATTAGATTATTTTGTGTGGGGCTAGATACATTCTATGGTTTATTCTAAGAAGAGCTAAGAAATCGGATCCTGGAAGCCGCAGTAAATATCAAGCGTCATCTTGATGCTATACGAAGAGCCCGAGAAGCATGGATTCGTCGTGTTAAATGTAGCATTAAGCAAAACGGAGGCCCCTTTGAACATTTATTCTAAATGTTGTAATAATAATAAATAAATAGTAATAATAAATAATAAATCTTTAACCTTTGATATCTGTTTAATAAATGAGTTTGAGATATATCTTAATATGAACTTTTTTGTTTATTTTGTGTTAGTGAACACATACTTAATATAAAGCCGTGCAATTACGAAACACACTGTACAAGAGTAGAAAAATGTTGTATACAAATCCCACAGCAGCGCTGCTTTCGAAAAATTTTTCATTATTCGATCCATAACTCTATGGAATTCTATGAAGAAATTAACCCAAATGCTGACTCTCAATGACCAAAAAAACAACTCAAGTCAAAGTCGTCAGTCTCCCATGTTTGGTTGGATGACTCGATTGTACGATTCATCTTCGGGATCCCAAGGGAAGCCTCTGTTTCCCCTTATTATAAAGAGCTGAAATGGCTTTATCCTTCCTACCAACGCAAATATCTCCTAGCACATTCCTCTTCCAAGTCATTCACTCCCGTCGTCCGTCATACATCTCCGAGCTCCTTTAATTCAAATCCTCCGTCCACTCCCGCAAAACCCGTTCCCGGTCTTTAGAGTTATATATAATGGCCCACCGAACCTCTGTTTTCGATAAATCCTTTATTATCCGATCCTCATCCCTATGGAACTCCATCCCTCCCCAAATTCGTCAATCCAAAACTCTTCCTACCTTTAAATCCCGACTGTTTAATCATTTCTTATCCATCCAGTCCTCATAAAATTATATACATATCACAGTAGCTATTACTTTAAATAAATTATTGTAAATTATAATTATAAATTATTAGATAGTTTTTTTATTATTTTTACTTCATGTTTATTTTTAATTTTTATTTTTTATTATTAACTGATTTAAATTAGAAAGTAACTTATAATTTCTTTTATTATTTTGACTATTTAAGCAAACTATATTCTTAATTGGTAATTGGTTGACTGTCGTGGATAATGAAGAGAAGAATAGTTGGGGTGTTCAGTCAAAAAGGAAGGCAAAATAAATGAAAATATTTATTTTTTACATATGCCGACGTTTCGACCTGAAGTTCAGGCCTTCATCAGGGCTAAGAAAATAACCAGATAACAAGGTTTGAGAAACATAAGTAATGATGGTAAAAAAAAATAATAAAAAATAAAATAAAACAATTATTAGAAAAATAAAATAGATAAATATAAAGTAAAATGAAATTGTTAGAATAATGACTAAAAACTAAGAGATAAATAATAAAAACCGTTACAAAGTGTGGAATGATGAAGTAGGCATAATCAAAAAAGGGTGACAAATTAGAAAATTGAGATATTGTAAAGTCTTAGACATAGACATAGACTTTACGATATCTCAATTTTCTATCTAACTACTCCATTCTCAATGTTTTAATTTTACTATTTATTTTCATTTCTTATATATCTTTATATTTCTTTTTTATGTTTTACATTTTATTCTAAGATTCCCATTGTAACACTTTTGTCACCCTTTTTTGATTTTTGATTATGCCTACTTCATCATTCCACACTTTGTAACGGTTTTTATTATTTATCTCTTAGTTCTTAGTCATTATTCTAACAATTTCATTTTACTTTATATTTATCTATTTTATTTTTCTAATAATTGTTTTATTTTATTTTTTATTATTTTTTTTACCATCATTACTTATGTTTCTCAAACCTTGTTATCAGGTTATTTTCTTAGCCCTGATGAAGGCCTGAACTTCAGGTCGAAACGTCGGCATATGTAAAAAATAAATATTTTCATTTATTTTGCCTTCCTTTTTGACTGAACACCCCAACTATTCTTGTCTTCAAACTATATTCATGTTTATGTATCTCTGAGGTTCCTTAGTCCACATTTTTGTCTTTCTATATTATTCTAAAGTGACTCGTCCCAGAATAAATAAAGTAATATTATTTTTTAAAAATAGCCACACCGATCTCCGGATTTAACACCATTAGATTATTTTGTGTGGAGCTGGATTCTTTGGTCTATGGTTTATTTTGCGTGCCAACTGCCAACTGCTGGAGATTGGTGTGGCTATTTTTAAAAAATAATATTACTTTATTTATTCTGGGACGAGTCACTTTAGAATAATACAGAAAGACAAAAAAGTGGACTAAGGAGCCTCAGAGATACATAAATAAGAATATAGTTTGCTTAAATAGTCAAAATAATAAAAGAAATTATAAGTTATTTCTAATCTAAAGGCCCAGAATTTAGAGATTTAATACAAGTATTCATATAATTATACGATATGTGAGATAAGTATATGACTACAAATGTTTAAACATCAACTAGTCCTATATTATCCTTTTATTTATTATTTGTTTAGTTATTAGTCTATAGTCGACTTTTCTTCATTATTAATTTTTAATTCCTAATTCCTCATTAAATAGAAAAAAATTTCCGACCTTCAAATTTCAAACGGCAAAATTTTAACTATTTTTATAGTTTGAAAAAGTATTTTAAATCTACGGATTCAAGGCAATGACGTTGTTTACGATACAATTTCATTGTACTTGTGTGAAAGAAGAAGTGAAATATAAAAATATTTCATGGATACGTTTATAATCTTAAAGATATTTACTTTAGTTTAATAACTCTAGATTTTATATTATATTTAAATATGTATGTATCTATCGTCCGTTTATTCCGAAAAATCATCATGTAACTTTTTGAAAAATTAAATTAGTGAATAATTTGATAAATTTTCCCTTTGCGATATTCCATCAGAATCCACTTACAATTAGTGTGACAACTTTTGACCTGTCTATGACAGACACTGCAAATCTCTTAATTCCGTTTTAGTAAACTTTTCAATGGAAAATAACAGAATAATAACTAATAGTCGTACAATCCATAATCAACGGATCGTCCAATCCATAATCAATGAATTGTGCAATTCATAATCAACCGGGGATATAATAAATAGGTACTTTGTTATTTTAATATTATTTATAAAGGTAGTGGGGTAGCTCAGTAGTAAGGTACTGAGCTTCCAATGCAGAAGGTCCTAGGTTCGAACCCCGGTTCATGACAGAAAATGTATTTCATCAGCCGTGGGACGACCCTGGGTCGGGAGACCCTCTTGGGTCACACCCAGCCTCTATAAAGTGGGTACCCTTTATTAAATAATTAATTAAGGGGGGAAACCTGGCGTTTGAGCGTGACCTCGGTCAAATCACCTCCTTATACATCCGTTGACCTAGAAACAGTACTTTTCCTAAATAGTACTGAACCCAAGACCCTTCATGGTTTGTAGTGATACAGGTTTTTTTTTTTTTTTTTTTAATATTTTTCTTATGCCATATGATTTGCTAGCTGCAATCTTTTAGCTTTAGCTCAGTTAAAAATGCAATTAAAAAAGTTTATAATAGCCCAACGTGGCCAGGAAATAATTTCTATTCAAAGTTAAGCGGTAAGTGAAAGTTGTGTTGCACGCACCAGATTTATTTCATTTATTGCAGATATATTGTGAATGAACCACTCTATCAATATTATATCCTTGAATGAGACAGAATGAAATATTACACAATAAATAATTTATGATCTTTTTATTAGAAAGAATGTTTGATCATTGAGTAAACCTGTTAAGAGGATTAAAAGGAGAAAAGATATATATATATTTATATATACAAAATTGAATATGTCATGTCTATTCGATATGAAAATAAATAAAATGAAACCGCGATTACCACCTGCCAAACATATCCGTGGCGTTGAACGGCCATTTTATCGCTTGAGATAAGTCTCACTGGTCTTGATAACAAGTCCAGTGAAACATGGATCAGAAAACATGGATCAGAAACACATGGATCAGAAAACACTCAAACAAGCTTTCAAGCTTGCGACCTATCTTGGGACATTCCCGAATTTAGAAACAGAAACCTTTAAAGTCAAGAAGGTCTCATTGATAATCGTGCTATTGATAAAATTGGTTGTAGGAATTCAAGCTTTCACGCTTGGAACCAGTAGTCTTCTGATAAACTCAGACAAAATGTCAAGCTATTGGTACAAATGCCTCATCAGTGCGCACCACTATTTAGAATACATTGTGATAGTATATTTCTTATTTTACGAATACCTTGATCGCGACAGTTTTCAGAAATTGAACACACAATATTTGGAACTCGATCAAAGGTTCTTCCGATTGAATCTGAAAAAAATCGATGAAATCGATTATTTTCATCATTATGTCTTGGTCGGCATGGTGATGATGCAAATCGCTGTACGTCTAATCTCTTGGGGTTTTTCTCAAAGCATTTTTATCATTTATATCGTATGCTCGGTAATAAGCTTGGTTCATCCATTCATACTTATATTAACGAATCTACATTCACGATTTGTGGCTTTGAGAAAATCTCTGTTTAATAATTGTAATTATTTGGGGTTGGATAATCGATACAATAAAATAAAACGCCTGGAAGAGATTTTGTACATTTATGACTTGCTCAGTTCCACTTGTACGACACTAAACTGTTGCTTTTCACAACAATTGTTGAATTTATTTTTTGATTACATGTTGGTTCTGATTTATAACCTGTGCGATATCATAATGGCGACCAATGAGTTCAAATACAATAAGATATTTTTGATTAGAATTATTATTCAGTTGACCGTTTTTTATCTCATCTTTGTCATAACGACACTTTGCCAAAATATTTCAAAAGAGGTAAGTGTATATATATATATATTTTTTTTTTTTTTGTCAGTATTCCTTATCTTCCTTACTCTATCACCAATTCTAAAGATTGAGCCACCATTTTGAAAATTATTTTGATCTTCAACGTGATAAAACAAGCACATTCAGGATTTCACCTTTTGATTTATTTATTTATTTGGTAGTTCATGCAAATGTTTTAACCCGCAAAATATAAACCCATACTTTAATTTCGATTCTATTTGGTATTACTTTCACCATGTTAACATTTTTTTTTTAACTTTTATTATGATATGTACAACTGTACTAGTATGAATACATCAAGTAAATGTGTACAGAGGAATATAATCACATGAAACAAGCTTGTTGAGAAACTACCCATTGGTACTACTCTATTAATTTGTCTACATGAGGAGATCATGAGGCCATCTTCTTTTCAGACGCCTCGGAGGGTTATCAGGATCCTTTAGTGGGCCTTAATACGTATTTCAGATAATAAAAAAAAAACTTTCTGCATCGTTGTTCCACCTAATGTGTGAAATAACGCGTCCTTTTTTTATAAATTTCCATAACTTGAGGAGGCTTCTAAAATAATTTTAAGTTCTTTATTAGCTATAACAATACCTCATTTGGACAAAATTTTCATTGTATTTATTATATTATAAATATTTTATCTGATCTTTCAGGTAGAAGAGTTTAATGCATTGCTATACCAGATAATGATAAATGACAAAACCAATGACATCGCCACAAATGTAAGATAACATTAATCAATTAGTGTGTGATAAAAATTAGTAAATAATTAGTAATCGTGAAAGATTATTACAGATAGCGATAGGTAAAGTATCCTATTTCTAGATCAATAAAACTATTTTAAGTTGTTTGACGTGTTTCAGAAAAAGCTGCAGCTTCACTTCGCTATGAAGAATGATGTCCAATTCACAGCCTGTGGTTTCTTTACCATCGACTATACCCTGGTACATTCGGTAAGTCTCCGGATATAATTATGGTACGTCGTGGTAATTGGTATTAGTACCGGTAATGGTTGGAGGCATTAGACAGAGATGTGGGTCACATTTGTAGCGAAAAACGTGGGTCGCTATTCACTATGAACCCACAAGTTCAGAACCATGGTGGTGTGTCCATGAAAAATAACACTCTTCAGAAATAATATATAACGATAAATTTAATCGATCTTTTTGATTTCAGATGATTGCAGCAACAACGACCTACCTTGTGATCTTGATACAGTTTAGGGAACCTACAACCTCAGTGGACATTGTGCCTGATTCAACTTTCTTCGCCAACAGTACCTTCCCAACTCTATTCTCTACGACCTCCTTGTAGTATTTGGAAACAATCGACTTTTATGTCGTTTTTTTCCTATTTATCATATGACGAACATAGATTCGTATCTGTTCACTCTAATATTTTGAAAATCAGCATAGTGTATTAGTTAATAGATTTCATTGTAAATAGTCAAAGTATTAGTATTAGATAAAGCAATGCTTAAAGTTATAAACTCATAAGCAGACCCTACACGGTAATTCATGAATGAACGTCACAAGAAGTTCCAAGATTGCCCGCTATCGCTGTGATCATGAAGACCCTTACACGTTCAATCATTACTGATCATTACTTATCCTTGCTGGTTTAGGTTAGATCATTGCTGAAGCCAATTTAGCTCAGTTGTAAACAAAGAATAGATATGCTTATTTGGACATTGTCATTTATAATATTGGGCATCAAGAGAATAACGGAGATATAATAATTACTTCCTAATGCCTGAAAATCGTTTAGACCAAAGTTAGTCCAAAATATAAGTCAACTACATACAAAAATCTATGAAAAGTATTGCGAAAATAATCAATTTGTTAAGAAAAATGGAAAAATTAATGGCAAATAAACACAACAGTTAAAGATTTTTTTTCTATAAGTAAATTGTGAAGTTTCCACTTTTTTCCTCTCCAATTTATTGCCTACTTGACTATTTAAAGAAAAAATAGTTGAAAATTGTTAATAACAATATAAACTAGGGATATAAACAACTATTTACTTTTATGAAATTATTTACTTAATAACGAGACCTAGGTAAATTAACCTATCTAGTAGTTAGGTTAGTCTCATAGAAAATCGTTTTGACAAAAGTTAGTAAAATATAATTCTACTACTTACAAAAATTAAGGAAAGGTATTGGGAAAATAACAAATTTGCTGAGGAAAATGGGAAAAGAACTGATAAATATACACAACGTTAAAGTTTTTTTTTTTTCCTTTCAAGTAAATTGTGAAGTTTCCTCATTTTTTTTTTTTTAATTTGTTGCCCACTTGACTATTTAAAAGAAATAGTTGAAGATGGTTTAAAATTATAAACAAGGGATATGAAAAATTATTTAACTATTTACATATAATGAAAATCAGAAATTTATAATGGTTGTGAGGCCTAGGTAACCTAACCTATCCAGCAGTGTGGTTAGCCCCCCCACTACTTTTACCTCAGCCCCCCCTCCACTTTTCGTGAATGAACCTTTGATTTCCGGATGTTCGGAAATCCGCAGCGCACCACCATCAGTACTTCATTCAATACCTTACACAATTCGGAACGTCATTCGTGCAATTCCGATTGACTGTGTAGGGTCCACTATACACTTTTTTGTGCATGTAAATATAAGTTAACATCTTTTACTATCTCTTTGGTCATGAGGAGACCAAAGAGGTATCACGTGATTAGATAAGAAAATCCAGGTTGCTAATTTGTTAGGTTTGCGGTAGTTTTACCGGTTATTAGAATAGAATAGAATAGAAAATAATTTTATTCTGGGACGAAGTCCCTTCAGAATAACAAAAAATTACAAAATTAAAATGTTGTATCTGGCCAAATAAAAACAAACATAAAAAGTAAAGATAAAGCTAAATCAGTAAAGAAAATATTAGTTTTATTTTATTATTTTTATTCGGGAGTCCATGAACAAGTGTGATCGAAGTGATTGTGAACCACGCGTAATCAGTGCGGAACTCTTGTGAACTAGTACCCATACTATATACAAAATAATAAAAAAAAAAAAATCTATATACAAAACTCTTGAAACCTTGCCAAGACACTTAAAACTAAAATATAAATATATACTTTTAGAAAAAAAAAAATATAAGTTAACATCTTTTACTATCCCTTTGGCCATGAGGAGACCAAAGAGGTATCACGTGATTAGATAACAAAATCCAGGTTATAGTGTTCATTTGTTAGGTTTGCGGTAGTTTTACCGGTTATTAGAATAGAATAGAATAGAAAATAATTTTATTCTGGGACGAAGTCCCTTCAGAATAACAAAAAATTACAAAATTAAAATGTTGTATCTGGCCAAATAAAAACAAACATAAAAAGTAAAGATAAAGCTAAATCAGTAAAGAAAATATTAGTTTTATTTTATTATTTTTATTCGGGAGTCCATGAACAAGTGTGATCGAAGTGACTGTGAACCACGCGTAATCCGTGCGGAACTCTTGTGAACTAGTACCCATACTATATACAAAATAAAAAAAATAAAAAAATCTATATACAAAACTCTTGAAACCTTGCCAAGACACTTAAAACTAAAATATAAATATATACTTTTAGAAAAAAAAAAAAAAATCGAATCTGCTAATAAGTATTTCAGTTATGAGCTATATGTAAATATATTATTATGAATAATATGTAATTTTACATAAAAGGTTAGCGGGTATCTGACTGTTTTTGGGACAGGAATTGGAATAGGAGGGTTTTGAATGTAGATAGGAAAGGGGCATGTCGAATTTTGATGGGAAGGGAATTCCAAAATTTAACAGAGTGAGCTATGAAGGAGTTTTGAAAAGTTTTGTTCTGCAATTAAGTTCTCGATTGTTGTTTGAGGAATACATCATAAAAAATTTAATTAATTTAGCAGTTTTACAAACAGATAATATGTAATAAAACGTTGTATATATTTATTATCCATGATAGAAGCAGACTCTCTATTATATTTTTCTGTAGTTCATTTTTTCCTTAAGTTCATTACTATATAGATTGTTGATAATATTTATTAATGCATCTATTTACCATTTATAGTTCATTATATAATACAGAGGTTTTATTTCATCTGTAAAGCATTTATTTTCCATTTGTTATAATTTAATATATTTAAACATAAGAAACGTTTTGTAGTAGACATCCCCGGTATTTACCCCTTTATATGACAATGTGTGAGGGAATGAGAAGGTATATATAATATATAGAAATGTGAGGTTGCTATATGTGAGAGTTCATTACTATATAGATTGTTGATAATATTTATTAATGCATCTATTTATCATTTATATTTCATTATATAATACAGAGGTTTTATTTCATCTGTAAAGCATTTATTTTCCATTTGTTATAATTTAATATATTTAAACATAAGAAACGTTTTGTATTAGACATCCCCTGTATTTACTCCTTTAGAGGACATTGTGTGAGGGAATGAGAAGGTATATATAATATATAGGAATGTGAGGTTGCACTGTGAATTTTACTGAATTGTGCAGTAGACAAATTGCTCATTGGAAAATCTGACATCGATAAAGAATCAAAAAGAAGAAAAGGTCCGATCAGGTAGCTGGCAACAGATGGGGAGGACGACGCCAAACACTTAAGGCCTGGACACCAACACAAGAAGACGTCATCTGGGAAGAGAGGCTTACTACATTGAAGACCAAGATTATCAAGCCGACCGTTCACTTATATATATTCATTTATGATCAATTGTCAAAATAAATTGTTTTATTATACCGGAGTGAATAGTCCTTTTATTTAGTTGTCCTATAGGCCTCACGATTGAAGTATAAACCAGGTGAGTCAATTCAAAGTGTTTACTAAGTCCCACATTTCATATATGTATTCTTATTGTTTCTTCTCACACTGTGTCATAAAAAATAATAGATCCCCGAATTCCCAATCACAGTTAAACATCCTCAAAAGTCGATATCCAGTGCCGGGGTTTTGTTTTAATGATTCACGAGTGTAAATAACCTTAAACCCTGATATAAAAGCGGAAGGCTATGCTCCTATTCCCGCCAAAACAATCATTTAAAATTAACTTCCCGTTGGTTATTTACAGTTTACTGATTTTATATATATTTTATATAACTTTCACCACAATTTATTTTTTTCTTTGCTAAATTTTGACTATCTTAGGCGTAGAATGTCGATATACTAAGTTTATATATCCGGAAAACATCGACATATTGATATATTCTTAATAAAGAAAAAAAATTACAAATAAAGAAAATAAAATCATTAAACCAATTTTTCTCTTGTGTTGAGTTTAAAAATATTCTCATTTATTTTCAGAATTTAGTTTATTTTTCTATTCTATTCTAAGAAATCAATTTTACTGTATTTAATAATAGCATTTTTCCTTCTCTCTTTCCTTAAGTCTGCTGCTGATATTAATGAAGGAAAAATCCTTAAATCAATTTCATTTTAATATCAACTTCGCTGGTCTGCATTAAAGGCTGTGATGTTTAGTAACTTGGTCATCGACACCCATTATCCAGTAATGGTAGAACTCCATTGATTACGACGACATCATGGATTCAATGGAGAAAATTAGTAAATCGATGTAGATAATATTAACAGTGCCTAACTGACGGACTTATTGTAACCTTCAAGTTATTCTAAAAGACGGCAGCAAGAAACGTTCATCCTTGAACATTCATTATGGCAAAGCAAAAAAAATTATTCATTATTCTTCAGAAAATTATATTCTGTTCTCAAGCATTGGGAACTTATCCGTACAACGAGCTAATTCAAATAGAAAATAGCCAAAGCATCTGCATTATCTACCATGCAATTTTGTTGATTACTATTGACGGTATTGCCTTCAGTGCTACAAGAATTGACTATAATGGTGAAGTTAAACATATCATATTTTCCATCTTTGTTTCCTGTACAAGACTTGTCTTATCCTCCATACCCACTATCAACTTCGCAACAGTGATGTTCAAGCGCCATCTGATGAAGGAGATTTTCGAAACTCTTATCGAAGTTGACAGTCGCCTTGAGATGCTCGGGTTCCATCCGAAGTATATTCTTAAAAGGATAACAACATACTTATGTTCCTCACTCGCCATCTTTTCCATCATCTCCTTCGCCCTTGGAGTGGGCAATGACTTCCGAAGCTACTTAGACATCTTTCACCTCGCAGTTTCTCTTTCTACGACATCTGCTATTATTCAGCTCATAACAGATCTCGTTTCCATAGCAGGTCAACAATTCCAGCTCATTAATACCAATCTGTCCAAATCGTCCAATAATCAGTCGAGGATCGAGTTTTTCATAGAACTTCATAACAAAGTATCAATGATATGCATCATGCTAAACAAAATATTTGGCAAGCAAATGCTAGTTATATCGTTCGCTGTTTTCTTTCACACGACCATTACAATACATTGTATCGTGGATCAGCATCTTTCACTTTATTTACTTTGTGCAAATAAGATAACAATTATGAGAGTTTGTATGACTTGCATTCATCTAATATTGGGATTTGCTCTGGTAAACACCTGCGTCTGGACTGGTATACAGGTAAGTTCTAATATTCACAATAGTAGTAATAAATTGCTTCAGATTAGTAACATCACTTTTATTCATCCGTAATGAGGTACACGAAAATTTGATCAACAGTCTGCCGATATTCAAGAGATAAATATCTCTATATAATATTATAAAGGGATTATAATTAGCTGGCATATAGCTTGAAATAAATAATTGTGCCTGGCAGATACGGTGGATACTTAAGGAGCGGACCGTATTATCATGTATACATTAATTAAAAGGGATTATAATTGAAATACTTTAAATCTTTGCTAAATAGCAAATTCGGGAATATACTATATACTGCATTTAGTTTTTATAATTCGGCAAAGATTTGGTACTTCATTTTTTTTGTTTTTGGTACTATAGACTAGGGGTCTCAAACTACGACGGTAAAGGTCTCAATGTGGCTCATAGGCCAAAAACCCTCTACCGGTCTTCTTAGAGACATATAATACTTATGAGAGCACGGGCAGCCTGGAAGGAATCTTAAAACTTCACGTAGCTACGAACTATAGTTTCCATGGCGCAGCTGGACGGTATAATATAATATAATAATCCAATATGTTATTTCTAAAAGTTTTTTTTTTGTCGATACGCCATCACTTTGTCAATTCTTCATCAAATCCAATGACTGACCGCTCGTTTTGAAGATATTCTTCCTTTAAAAACTTTATTCGCGAATAACTCTAAAACTATGCATTTTTTAGATTGTACCCATGATAATTAGAAAGACTACTAAATTACCTACAATACAAAAGAAAATCGTACAATTATAAATAAACAAAGTCCATTAGTTTTGTTATACTTAATAATTTCTTCCTTTTCAAAGATATTGCATTTATTATTCTAATACACTTTTTTTTTCTTTTAATACTTTATAAAAGACATCGGTTGAGTTTTAGTGGTAAAATTTAATATTTAAGGATACTCAGGATAATTATTCCTGTGGTCCTTGGTTTTTCCCAACGGCCATGTTGTAATTATGAATAAAATTACAAGATGATGGGGCTGTCCCAAATTCCTATGTCAATATATTTTATAATATTCCCTAACTTGATTTATTATTTTTATGTAATTTTTATGAAGTTGTACCCCTCTCATATCTAGTTTTACTTAACACTGATGAGCTTAAGATGAAATTTTAAGTATTTTTCTTCACTCCAACCAATTCCTAATAAAAATATTTCATACTGAAATGCAGAAAATCTAATAATTTAGAATTTCAGTAAAATTTTTCTATTGTGAGTAATCAATAAACAATATATTCAATTCAAATTTATTAATTTACTGAAAATTAAATGTAAAAAAATATTTCTTAGTCAAGGGACTTCACCCAAATACTACACATGATGATGTTAGAAGACAAAACAGCACAATTATGTCACAATGTAAGTAATAATTATTTAAACTAATATTATTATTTAATAAATGAATTCACTTATGGTCATTTAAAATAGTTCAGAAATAATCTTTATGGTTAATCATGTCTTAAAAAAAAATTTTTAATCTAAACTTGATCAAAGAAGTTGAAAGAATTTTAATGATCTAGTATGAAAACTTAATTAGAAAAATAAAAATTGAAAATAGAATTGACAGGTTTAGAATTTCAATTATACTTACTGATTATCTCACGCATGAATTCTCTTATATTAAGAGAGGAAATTGTTTGTATCAGGCTCAGTGTTTCCACCATATGTTTTTAATTTCACTTCTGGCCAGTCAATTTTTTTCTTTTTTTCCATCAGAAGAATCTTAAAAACTCCTTCGGACCTAATAAATACAAAAAAGTATATAATATTATATGTAAATACTCATTTTATATCTGGTTTACATATATTATCAAAATAATTAATTAAACTATGTTCAGAATAGGCTTTGATTGATAAAAAGTGTTTCCCGTTTTTCCCCTGCTAACCTTGAAATTTTCCTAATTCCAGATATGAAAACACTGATCGGTGTGAGCTTGTATGTGTAGAGAAGTTTAGAATTAGTTTATCAACAATTCACATCTAATATGGTGTTGTGCAAAAAACCTGTACAACTACTATGTATGGAATTGATTTGGCCAGGACCATACTCAAACAGATTTTCCCCAATAGAGGGTTATAATAAAAAATGCATATATTTTGTTAACAGTATAAAAGCATTGAATTATATTACATATTATATGGAAAACTTAAATTTGTGTGTTTATTTTTAATATAAAATGACAATAAATAAACAAAAACGCAAACTAACATCTAAGAATTTAACTCAAAAGCCATAAATTTAACCTTTGTTTTTAGATTGCATTACGTTATGTAAATATTTTCAAACCTTTTCGATCATGTCCTAAATCTTTAAGTAAACATATTTTAACCACTTGGTTCATTTCATTTACCTGTTAACCCCCCTTCCCTCCCCCCCCCCCCTCTCAATGTTATAAGAAATATATTTGTGACCAAAAAAGGAGCATTCAGGAATTGAAATGTTTAAAATATATTCTTTGATATATCCTAAAATGAGTTTTTATTATAAATTGTATAACAAATCTAGTTGAGATCAATTATATAATCAAAGGATTACACTTTTTCTCAATGACTTAATTTTAACTTTTGTTTTTTATCTTGATAGAAAAAAATAGGCCTCCATATTGCCATGAAGAGGGAAGCAGTCTTCACAGCTTGTGGATTTTTCAATATAGACTTCTCTCTAATTCATTCAGTAAGTCAATGTAATTTGAAACAGTACTGGGAAAAGTATTACTATCTAATAAGCTGCATTATCATATCTTAATTTTCCATTAAAAATAAATAAATCAGTATTCGCTAAGATTATTTTAATATTCCAGATGATGGCTGCTGCAACAACTTACTTGTTTGTATTATTGCAGCTTGGACAACAAACATAATAATCTCTCAGTGCTAATGTGACTCTTCATAGAAGGTTTGTGATATTAACTTTGAATTAAATAAATTATAATTTACTCACATATTAAGGTTTTTCATCACAATGTATAGAAAAAAAAAAAGACTGTGTATCATTTCTTTAAAATTATGCAAATTAATATGAAATATTGCAGTAAAGTAATATCAGACAAATGTAAATATTTTCAATACAGCTAAAAATTGAGATATTTTCGACTTTAACTAAATAAATATACTGATAAGTAGCTTTTTGATATTGATGTTCTATATGAGTATATAAAGGTTCATATGTAAATGACAAGCAGTATGATCGATATTTTGCCACACTTATGCTTACTCTTCAGTGGAGTAGTTTTACAAAAGATGGCTTTGTTAACAAATCCATACTTGTATAAGAATATGGATTATACATGTTTGTCTAGCTTGTATAATCTTATACATAATCTAATAGGTCATCGCAAATTCATCATATGAACTTAAATATTCAATGTTGAATATCAGATATATTTCTGATGATGAGGTATGCGTCAAGTTCTCTTCCTATGTAAAGATGTATCATTATAGTTGATAAGCATACTTAATGAAATTTTTGTACAAAGTATGTAATTTTTTAATAAACGTAGATGTTCCACAATTTTTGGATAAACTTGAATAAGTAACCAAATATATCATTATGTCGATATTTACTCTAGTCTAGGGGATATATTGTCTCAAGTTCTGCAGCGATTGCACAAAAGTAGCCTTGGATATCTCTATCCTCTCGGACAGGATGATCGAGCACGTTGCGGCATGATGAGTCCCAGAGTGCCCAGTTCTAAAAGTTGTGGGTTCGATTCCCACCTGGGTCAGTTATTTTACATTTTTCAGCAGGAAAGCGGAAACCTCAAGGTAGCTGTCAGAGGTTGGCGAAAAGGATTACGATAGAGCCCACTTGCCCAGTACACCCCACCAGTTTCAGCCCGTGAAAGACAAAATTTCTTCTAAGGATCTTTCAGGATCAAACCGGTTACAATTTTAATATTATTTGGTGTAGTTATTATGTTGTAGTATCCTTTTGTATATATATTGTAATACATACCTTTATTGGAAGTGAGTAAAAAGAGTTTAATAAATTAATGTTGAACAATTAAAAGGCAAGCTAATCTAGTCCTACTAGTGTAGAGAAAAGAAAATGGCAGCTCTGTAGTTTCCCAAAAAAGTAAAATCCCAAAGAGGAGAGAGACACAGGTTTTTGTTTTGGCAAGCAGCTGTTGTGTGACTGCAGTAAAGAGAAGATGGGAGAAGTGATCCTGGCTCCAGTGGGTAAAACCCAGAAACAGTATTACCATCTTGGAAGTAGTGTTTGACAGGACATTAGAAAGCATTTGAAGACAAATGAATTTAGTGCAACAAAGTAAGAAATACTATCTATGGAAAAAAGATTAGCTTGCCAATCCATACTAGAATTTATTATAAAATCAGTGTTTAATTTTAGTATAATTAGTGTAAATAATAATAGTTTGTCTGAGTTGATCTGATTGTCAGTAACCCACACCTGAGATAAATAAATATATTAATATTCTTATAATTTTGTTTATTATTAAACAACCTCTTATTTACTTAGGGAGTATCCCAATGGTAAGAAGTGAGCTTCCGAGGTTATATTATTATTATTTTAAAATATAAGAGGGATGTTACAATATACATTTTCTTTTTTTTTAAACTTTGTCGTGTTAGGGTGGGAGATTAATGGCAGAGTTAAAGGACCCCTGGCACTGGGACGCAAACTCAACTAATTATTTTATCAAATTATCTTTCATCAGGTTTTTAGGGAACACAGTGCTGTACACACAAGTTAGCCCACTTGGCCACTCAGCTCCCTATGTTGTGGTATCTGGTCGCATTCCTATCTTTTTTGTTTCCACAAAGTCTGAAATCTTATATCTACAAGATTTGAAAGTAGATTCCCTCTTTTTACACAATACCTTGTCCTTTGAGGTGTATAAAAGTTTGTTCCCTTCAGGCTCCAGTTGGAAGAGCTGTTCTCTTCAGTTATCTCCTAATCTAAACCCAGTTCGATTTGTTATCAATTCCTCCTCCAGGCAGTAACATTTGTTCCACTTTTAGAGCGAGTTAAAGTAGCTTTTTCAAGAAGAACAAAACTATTTAGTCAAC